CCATATTTTACGATCTAATTTGCTACACCAGCCAAACTTTTCTTTCACTGTAGAGTATATAGGTATATTTCATTATCAAAATTAAAATAATCGAACGGTCGTATTTAGTCCTAAATATGAAAATATGCAGATACCTTTAAAGAGATTAGTTGCGCGAAATTTTTTTATTTTATACGAATGTCCTTATTGCCTCTCTGTACTTGCGTCTTAATAATTATTTGATTTAACACAACGCGGAAATCTTTGAACGAATGCCAGATGACAAATAAACTGCACAAAGGTGCGACATAATTCTCGAAACTCTCATATGATGACACGCGAGTTAACTTGTTTTCCCGTCATTTTTACATTGTATACCTCGGCTTTTCGCACATCTCCGAAAGCGTATTAAGCGCCGCTGTAATAGCAGAGGCGTTCTGATACATGGCGAAACGTTGCCAAACTACAATAACGTATGTGACACGGTTGCTCAATCAGTCGACATGGCAGGTGCGCGTGAAATTAGTGAGCCACCCAGCTTGCGGCACGTAGTATATAAATTTGATGATATAGCGCCAACGAGAACAAAAAAAAAAAAGAAGAAAGTTTCTCGCCCCTGTGACATCCTCATTAGAAGAAACGCGTCGTGAACTCACCTTCCCCGTCTGTTTTGATCCGAGAATTTGTGATTCCGCAAAATATCCACGAATCGATTGGACATAGTTAATTTAATAAGAGACGCACGCGGGGTTTACGAGCCGCGATGTGCAGCGGCGCATCGGCAGCTGCAGTTGCAGCTCGAGATTTAAAAGCCGCTTTGCAACCGCCCTCCCTTACTTCTCCCATTCTCCCACCCACTCGTTCGCGTTCCGCAGGAACTCTTTCTCGTTTCGTCTGTCTGTTGCACGGTCCATGGCCAGCGTCGTTCACGGCGCAAGCCGGCCGGCTTAATGTTGTTTTAATTAAGTAGGCGGTTAGTCGAAAAGAATGTCGAGTCGGTACTTTCGGTCTCGTCGACTTCGTACGCTCCGGCTACCTTCTCTCTCTTTCTCCCCCTCCCCCCCCCCCCCCCCCCCCCCCCCTCCCCCCCCCCCCCTCTCTCTCTCTCTCTATTTCGAGAGGTGCCGCGTAACTCAAGTCGCATGTGTTCCTCGTATGTTCAGACGCGATGGACGATTTCGCTTGACTAATCGCCGTCTTTTTAACCCCCTCTACAACGTGGAAGAAAAGGAAGACACGTTGTGTAAAATGTTCTCGTGTTTATCTACGACGGGCTTGGATCAACCGTCGAGCACGACGGTCAACGGTCGCATCGACGTTTGAAGAGACCGCTCTAAATGCCAAAAATAAGATGTTGCCCGATTTAAGATTGTTGAAAGGATGAACTTGCCTATCTTGATTTGCGGACTTCTCGAGACCTCGTTTGCTATCTCTAAGACAGGATCTCGATATTCTAATTTTAGAATCATGGCATTTAACGTTGTTTCTCTTTCGAGATTTTGCATGTGTTGGAGCAAAAATTTTAAGTGATTTAGTTTCTCTCTCTGTGTGTAGACAATTACTCAAGAAATATTATATTTACTCAAGAAATGCATATTGAATATTAATTTTATAAATGATTGCTTTGCATGTGAGCGAGTTTATACTTTTTTAAATACTGTAATATTTATATTACTTTTTAAATATTTTTTATCCACATACTATGGATTTTATTTTAAGAATGTTTTTACAATTTCTTTGTCAGATTTAATTTCTGTTAATTAAAACAAAATTATTTGCGAAAAATATGAAAAACTAATAATACTTATTGAAACAAAGAAAGTTTGATTAATTATATATATTTGTATTCCATAGATATGTGAGCTGGATAATGGTAATATTAAAACACGGATTTAATTATTCTTGAGGAAACATAATTTAATTCTATATAGGATATAAAAGTGCATCGCGGAAGAGACGGTGTTAAGATTAAGACAAAACCAATTTTCTGATGATGTAGGCTATTAACGAGGTTAATGAGCGATGTTAAATCGTGACCAGCTACTTTCGCCACAGGAACGTGTTTATATATAACATACGTCTAGATATATTATTAACCGACACCGTCACGTATCTTTTAACGCGTAATACACAAGCTGATCTGCCTGTATTTTTCGAGTTAAGTAATTTCTAAATGGTCAAACAAATTAAAAAATTTTATTTATTCAGGTCACTTGAGATGATCTTTACATCCCAATAACGAAGTAAATGAAACTCACAGATTTCTTTACTGATTGAAAATTCACATTTAGGTTTCTAAATTTCTTTTTAGAAAATATTAAATAGATCGACACATACAAAATGATCTCATACTAATAAGTTATACATAGGACAATCAATAATTATATAACTATAGTGACTTTTAATTGGGATGTAAAAATCATTCCGGGTAATTGTTTACGCGATAAAAAATTATTGTAGATGACTATTTCAAGTTAATAAGGAAAAAGCGTCGCCTTATTCTGAATTCTAATGAAATAAAGCACAAAATATTTTTGCAAATTCTCACGACTCTCCATTTTTCGTACATAAAAGAGGAGCTAAAGAATGGTTGAAGTGCCATGGCTACATCATACACGGCCGCTTCAGCAGACCGTAAAATTGGCGTGTAAAAATGTATAAATATGGTACGCCGGCCAGTACACAAAAGCGCGCGTATTATCATCGGAATTAACCTAGTGTTCGACTGAAACACTTCTTCTTTGCAAGCACAAAGCAACGAAACCCTTTGTATCGAAAAAAGGATCCACCCTTCGTGCTAAATTGCGCTTGCCCGGCATTATATCGTAAATTACACACGCCGAGTTATTTAAAGGAATCCGGGACAGGAACGCGCGGGGATAAAGTTCTAATTATGATTTCTTTAAATTGCTAATAAGTGGTAATACGAAATGGTCCACGATCGAAGAATGTGCGATTTATATACAAATGTCATTTTGAAATCCATTGTCGTCGCGAAACGTGCTAAAGTTCTATTCTTAAACTCTAACGATTTTGATCGATATTTTATTTATTTTATTAAAAAAAAATATATTAACAAAAATTAAATTGTATATTTTGGAGCATATCTCTTTTTATTTTCCGCTTCATTTATTCGATTTTTATTTGCTTTTTAAAACCTCAGTTAAAGTTATGAAATTTTATGCAGATAAAATAATAGTGTCCAGTTCTATCTGTTTATCAATTGTACTAGTTATATAATTTCTTGGCACGATTAATAATTTTTTTGCAGTTTCTTCAATATTATTTCGTATGTCGCGAATTCGCGCCGAAGCCATTTGGAAAACAGTAATTTCGCCGGATCGTCGCCGAGGCAGGTGGTTAAACTCATTGTCAGGAAGGAACCTTCGCTACGATTTTGCGGTAATAGCCGCCCGAACAGGACAACAGAGCTCCGTTCTGCATTCGTGCCAGACAATTATAAATCGCATCTCATCACCTTTCCTCGCCTGTTTCGCCGAGATTTTTATCGGCCCCGCAATCGCGCCGGCTCTCATCCGTGACCGCTTTAATCACATTTTAACTGTGCCGAGAAGCGTCCGTGATTACTATGTACACGTCCGAAGAGGCACAGTTATACTCTCGAAGCTCGATATGCATTCTGCTGCACATGCCATCAAATAATACGACACGACGATTTGCGCGTTGCGCAAAAAAAGTCGGAAGATACGAATGATTTGCAAAATTTTGTCGTTGCTTCATTACTGACGTATGATTTTCACATTTCACGTATTATCAGCTTGTGCGTGAATAATGCAAATATTAATAGACTCATCCTAATTGATAATAAAAATGAAGAAATCTTTTTTTTTTTTTAATTGCTTGTATGTTTAGAGAAGTAAATTGTTAATCATACTTTTAATATTAATAATTGCAATTCATGCATTTCTTTACATAATGCAAATTAGTAAACAGACACGATATTTTCGAAAATCTAATAACTTCTGGCGAAAATTTTTTCTTAGAATTATTTATATAATTTTTAAAATTTTTATATAAATTTCAAAATTTGTCAGAATTTCTCTATAATATTATTTCTTAGATTTTTTTAATATGAATTTTAGAACATTTTTTTTTTTTAATATTGAAAATCAACATCTTTTCTATAGAATTTTGTATACATATAAATTCTAAAATATCGTAAGATTTTTCGCTTTATAATTTCCGAAGAAAACTCATAAAATTTGAAGAAGTTCTTAAACTTGAAAAGTATTTTATGAAGGATAAGTATGAAAAATTCTCTTAAACATATTATGAAAAATTATAACAATTTTTTTACCAAAAGATAAATATAATGTATTTATTATAAAGTAATGCTGTGATTTTTTCACGATATGTTGCATTTATTAAATGCAAATTATAAACATTGAGACAACGTCGCCATCATACGCGGACTTCAAGAACAAGAAGTGAATTAACTACATAAAATTAACAATCGATAAGATGATTCTTAATTTGACTTTTCTGCATAAAAGAGCGTATTGACAAAATTTTAAATAATCATAGAAATTTTATTTTAATTTGCTTTATATTATTATAATGTATAATAACATTATCAGACACAATGTATTGCCACTGTCGATAATATCGCGATGTTGTCTATTTTATCCTTAACGCGAAAAGGAAATATATATCCTATGAGTTTGTTACTCGACGGATAATAACTCCATGGAAATGAAGATAATAATTCGAAGACAAAAAAATCGTTTGTAATTATCTTCTATTTTAATTACAACTATTACAAGCTAAATTAGAACACATATATTTTTGCAGTAATAGATTGGAGTAAAGTTGTAATCTCTCAGGAAATACTGTACAATACCTATCATTTACAGAAAAGCACGTGAAAATAATATCTGAAGAAAACGATATATCCAAAAAAAAAAAAGAGAGAATAAGAGAAGAATAATTACAATTTTACTAAAATGACAAGGTACACTTGTGATTATCGAGAAATCCTCTAATTAAAGAAAGACACGATATCTTCACAATGTTATTTATTCGAATTGCATTCCAGTGACACGTTGAATCCAATTTGCAAATGCTGCTACTCTAGTATACACTCCTGGTCTATCGCTTGGACAATTTGCGTCTCCGTAGCTAACGATACCAATTTGTAGCGGTTGATCATCCTTTATTACAAAAAGAGGACCTCCACTATCACCCTAAGACATATCGCATTAGAATAAAATAGTTTAATGAATAACCAACTGCGAGGAATTTCAACTTATTCTTAAATTGAGTAAACATATAATTAAATTTTCTTTTTTTTTTGCGAAGTTATATTATTATTGTATTATATTATTGTTTATTTCTTTTTTTATCATTAAATTTGTTACCTGACACGCGTTTTTCCCAAGTCCTGGTTTCGTGCATATATTTCTGTAATCCACTCTCCAGTACGAGACACACTCCCGTTTTGAAATTAACGGCATTAGAGCATACATAAGTTTCTTGGTTCCTTTGCGACCGTATCCATCGCGACCCCATCCAACGACATAGGCCATCGTATCAGCCATAACTTTACCATCCTTCAGACCAGCCAGATGTATCGGTTGAATTTTTTCTAAAAATTAAAATTTCGTTGAATCGCAAAAACTATAATTCTACGATTATTATTAACAATTTTATCTTTTATATTTCTCAAGTTCTTTCGCCACGCGTTCTTCATCGACGAATATTGTTTTACCTGAAAAAGGAATGTCTTGTGGCAAGTGTAACAATCCGATATCGTTCTTGTTGAAGAAATAGTATGGATGTACGTGAGCCTGTGTCGTCATCATCGAGACTCCAGATCCCCGATTTACGTTGTAACCGATCCCGGTCTTATCAATGATTCCAAATATCACGAAAAATCTTTGTGGGTACTTGGCGATGCAATGCCCTGCGGTCAGCACCCATCTTTTCGAAATGATGGTACCGCCGCACTGAGCAACTCTCTTACCATCGATCAACCGATGCACCACGGCCATGAACGGAAATTGACCGTCGTTCGCGTAACTTCCACCGACTATCCTCTCCATTTGTTTGGCTTTTTGATGACAAAAAGATATTCACAGAGAACAGACTCTCTCAAGAAAAAGATATAAATGAAAATAAAAATATATATTGATGTATAAATATAAAAAACGCGTAAGTATAAACCCAGACAATATGCATGTCTGAAAGATCACGAATATATAATAAATCTATAATAACGCACTAAAAAATAAATTACATGATAAACCATGTTTACAAATCGAATATTATTGAAAGTATAAGTTCTCGAAAGTTTGCTTATTATATTAAATTATTATGCTTATTATATTAATTATTATTTGATTTTTTAACAAAACAAAATGATAATATCATTTTTTACTATCGAATTTTTTAATTATTAGGGACATGTTTGTACTCACTGTTCGATGCGGATAGCTGTTTATTGATCGTGATGGTACCATTATTAAAATCAATAATGATCCTTTTGTTATGAAATTTGAAATGTTGAGGCTGTTGTTGAGCATTTCTACGCGACACTGAAACAATCAAGAAAAATACGAAAGCCTTTGCACTCCACGAATTCATAGCGGACTAACGAAAAGTTTTGCGTCTCACTGCTATTTATGATTTAGTCAGTCAAGTATAACACAGATTGGAGAAACTATTTGCACGAGGTGGAAGAAATACGTTAGCCCTATAATACTTTATTTCTCTGTCATAGATAAAATTAATCGATTATTACCACCGACTCCCATATGTTTTACTTTTTTTTTTTGCCAAACTTATCATTGGATATGTGAATTATTACTATTTAAATATTTTAAAATTTTATCGAAATTATACTCTAATAAAAATATAATATTACATTTATAATTGCAATATTATATTGCAAATAATAATGCGTTTAATAATGGAATTCTCTTATTTGTGTTTGAGCACTCTTTGCTCTATTTCAAAATATTTTATTTTTTTTTTTATCAAATATATATGTTTATTTAATCCATTATATAAAAGTAACGATATAGTTTTGGTTAAACATTTCTTTTTACTGCCTTCTTTCAGTGACAAATTAAACATTATTGTGTACAACAGTTACAGGGTCGGATAATGCTAAGTTAAAAGGATAAAAGTTAAGTTAAAAAGTTAATTTTAACTTAACTTATAGTTACATTTTAGACTCTTAATTTGTAACATAATTTAATTACATTTTATATAACTATTAACTTTTAATTTGATTGTTTTTGAAGTCAATTCTTAGATACAATGCAAGAGGCTAATGAATATATAATTTAGTAATTTTATATTGTAATTAATAATCGTTACTTGTCGACAAAAATAACCAGATTCTTCAATAAATAAGCTTCAATAAATAAGAAAGCAAAAATACGAAAAATTGTGTAAAATAGTCACTCTTTCTTTTTTTTTTGATTGTTTGTGCAAGCCAAATTTAACTTTTAACTTTTTAATTACTTTTTTAGTAACTTAACTTTTAATTCAATTAATTTTATTATGGATTAATTTGTATTTTAATTAAGTTAAATCTTCAAGGCTGTTAATTTCAACTTAACTTAGTTAAAAAAAAAGTTAACTTACCCAACCCTGAATAGTTATCGTTCCGATTGCAAGTTAGCGCGTCGCCCGGAGAGAAGGTGTCGTCATTTCTGTTAATCTCAACTGTTGCATCGAATTGATTGACAATCATTCTATTGCGCTGTTGACGGTTCCGCGATTTCTAGTCGAGCGGCCGTTGCACTCTGATTGAAACGCGCTCAAAGCCGCGTAATCGAGACTCGAGAATATTTTTGCACGCACGGACAGTCTACGCGATGTAACGCGTGTGCGTGATGCGTAATGCTATGATTCATCATTTATTGTCCCAAGAACCTCACGCTGTGAAGCTGAATTGTGGACCGGACGTATTCGTCTACGACGTCCACCGTAGATTCGCGTCCGATTTCGCGTGCCGTTAAATCGCACGACTGATCGTGCTGATCCTTCTTTTCCCCTGCGAATGATGCGTTACGCAACATCGTCGGTTCTCGCTTTCTTTGCGGAGTTCGAAGTTGGCCTAAAAAACGTACAATGTAAATGAATCTTTTTGCGGATTACTTTCCATTTTAGTACATCTGTTAATATAATAATTCTATATATTTATTAAACGAACAGGAAGTAATTTATTCAAATTCCGAGGAACTATGTTCCGAATTCCGAGGACGTTTCGAGGAATTTGTGCAATGTAATGTTGCGTAATGTATTGTAGCAAGAAGTGTTTCAAGTTGTGTAAAAAGTCAAACTAAAAATTGATTATATAACATCTCCCGTAAAATTTTATTTAATTCCAATTCTATTTTACTAAATACTTATTCAGTTTAATCTTACTGAATGTGATTTTGTTATTAATTATATCGAATTAATGTTTATTTTTGGCCATTTCCAACATTACCGGCGTTGTTATTACAATGAAGCTAAATACTGATCTAATCTGTTTTCTTAGGAATTATGAAAAAAAAAATTTATGATTTAAGGAAACTTAATTTAAATTACTTTGTAACATTTCAATTTTAAGATTAATCATTTATATTTTTTATTTATTTAAAAATGAACTTATTTAGATTTATTCCTTTGGTACTTTCTCTTCTTTTTATGAAAAAGAGAATTGGAAGAGATATATTAATATAATATAATAGACACGCAATGGTCAATCAAACAATTAATAGTTAATTAATGTTAGCTAAATTAATTTGTAACTGATCTGTCATTCTTTTGTTCTTATATCTTCTATATTCAGTTTAGAAAGACACGGATAATTATTTAAAATTTTAAGTATTAATTAATCGATTGTAGACACGACCTGTAATTTTTCCAATTTTTTTTGCTTGTTATCGCACAATGTATTTTATTATCACGGACTTAATTACCGATGCTCGGTCACTTCAGCTTTCTCTAGTTATCTCGCGGTAATTAATAGATATACATTAATAGACATACAGAGTCGTTGAACCAATTTTTTTACCCTATGAGAAAATTATCGACTTCATATAATTGAATTATAACGTAGTTGCAGTCAATTATTTTCTCTGATTCAGAGAAAATACGACTCTGATTCACCCTGTATTCCGAATTATGCTTTTTGCTTTTTCATTAAAGTCATCAAGCTTAAAATTAAAGATTATAATTCCATGGTAATTTTTGAAAGTCTTTACGGAAACTAAAATAACAGAAGGAAAAGAAACAGTAGGAGACTAGAAAAGAGAAAGTATGTTTCGCATCTATCAGAGAAAGTGATTTCTCAAAAGAGATCAGATAACTTTGCAAAGAAAAAAGAAGAATATCAAAAGTTAAAAATCGATAAAAGATAGTTTTTAGAAACGAATCATATAAAATAAAATTGACACTAATATTGTATCATCTATTTTTACTGGAAAATGAATTGGAAAGTTATAAAATCTAAGTTAATGAATCCTGCTATACTATCGAAATTTTGTATTATAAATAGTTCCTTTCGCGTAGAAAGAAGTGCAGGTATTATATAATTGTTTTTTTACAGGAATCCATAAATATACAGAATATTCCCTTTGAAAGCTGCCTGTTTGCATTATTCAAATAAAATCGGGACAATGCTGATCAACATTGCAAATTGAACAAATCCCCAAATAGACTTTTGTACAAATGCGTCAATGGACACGTGATCTGTTTCAACAGATTTGTGCTAAGATGTTGCACAGAATATTTTCCATAAGGCCTATATAAATTATTATTAATAATTATCCATTATTTTATTACAGTTTGTATTAATAATATGCAGCATATATTACACATATAGTTTTTTAATAAAATTTATTATGTATATACTCTACCACGTAGCGTGACGTAGCAAAAAATTCTTTAAATCTAAAGAAATTAAACAATGAATTTTACAAAAGGGGAATCTACTGATATTCTTTTTCGCAGTGAAATATACGCGGTTGAGATGTAACGTCTGCTAGCAGTTGCGCTGCGACGCATGCGCTAAAATAGTTGCACCAGCCATCAGTTCCACTGACGGATCTATGGAGGTCATGGCCCTCTCCTTGGAATCTTTTTTTTAAAAATATAATATTTATGCAAAATGTTATAAATATTTTTAATATTTCTGAAACGGTTTAATTACGATTTTGATTCCAAAAATAATCTTTTATATAATTAATTTAATAATTTACGAAATTTCTGTAGGTAAAATATAAATATATAGATTCTATTACATTATTTTTTTATATTAATATAATTTTGAATAAAACATCTTATGAATTATGCATTTAAATAATACTTCTTTAAGGTAATGCCAATAATAATTTAAACATTTTATCTTTTCATACTTGACTTAAAAAAAAATTTTTGCTTGTGGCTCCAGTGGCCCCCGCCCTTGACAAATTTCTAGGTTCGCCAATGACTAATTCACACTATCCCCCCTTCGCGTTTGCGCGTTTGTTGGCAGACCTGAGTTGAGATTGGAGCAGGTCGGAACGGAGGAGAGGTCGTGAGCGAGCGGATCACATTACGCATATCACATCCGTACTCCGTACTATCCGCAGTGCACTGTGCATCGGTGATCGGTGAAGCTGAAACGAGTGAAGGCGATATTACGTACATAATACGCGAACGCTGGCGGTGAACGATATCGCGACTATCCTTGTCGTCGTGGTCGTCATCATCATCAAGAGTGCGTCTAGCAGCTGGCCTAGCCCGGTTTCGCGACGGAGATGATCGTCGCTCGCAATAATCGTGACGGAGCGAACGTGACGACGTGCCGGAAACTCACCGTCTCGGCGGGGATGTGAGCGAGAGGAACGCGCTCGTGAGAGCGCCGCGCGGCGTCGTCGTCGTTGACGACCAGCAACCACGACGACCTGGCCGGCTAATCGAAGGGATAAGAGACGCGCGCGCGGCAGTGTTGTTATCATTGTCGCTGAACGCGGTATATACGAGCGACTCACGTCCCAGGGGGAGCACGATGGCGGATTTCGATGCAATCTACGAGGAGGAGGAGGAACATGAACAGCATTTAGAGGGTCACTACGTCGCGATGGTGCCGGACCCGATCGTGATTCGTGGGGCTGGCAACATGACAGTGTAAGTTTCTTTCGTGGAGCGCCACTCCGAGAGCCGAGCTGCGCGTCCGAGAGGTTCTTTGTTGTCTGGAAGGACAGAGGGGGGGAAAGAAGGGGAGGGGAGGACAGAGGATTCACGATTCCACAAAGAAGAGATGCAAATAAAGCCACCTAATTTCCTTAATTTCGATGTTCTACTTGGCAACATATCCATGTCTCTCCGTTGTTGTTGTTCTTTCGATATCGTCAGCGACATCGTGTTATTTTTTTTCTCAGAAAAAAAATGTATATTTATTCATCTGCTGAACTTGTAGAATTAAATTGTTGTTTACCTTGGAGTCGAGTCAATATTTTTATTTCCATTTCGAAAGAATTTCAATGATAAGTTTCATTCAAGTTGCTAAAAAAAAACTACCATGTAAAAAAATGTTATCGATATGTGCGATTTTTCTTTCAGATTCGGTCTCAGTAACCGTTTTGAATCGGAGTTTCCCAACGGCCTCATGTCTCGCGTAGCTCCAGAAGAGTTCAAGGCGACTGTTATGAGAGTGAACAGTGTATTGAAAAAGACTTTACCTGTTAATGTTAAGTGGTTATTCTGCGGTTGTGTATGCTGTTGCTGTACTCTAGGATGTTCTCTGTGGCCTGTTATTTGCTTGAGCAAGAGGGTACGTATTAATTGTAAGAAAGTCGAATTTATAACTCTCTAAATTTTTTGGAATGGAATCTCACTCTAAAGAGTGAAAATTGATACAATTTTGAAAAAGAGTAGCTCAATTTTTGATCTTCAAGAATGAGATGTTACTCTTTAGAGAGTGAGATGCACTTTAAAAGTTTTAGAGAGTAAAGCTTATATAAGTTGAATAATGTAGTAGTATTAATTAGATTTTAATATATACATACAAGCATTAACAAGGATTATCTTTCTAGACTCAGCATTCGTTAAACAAATTGTTAGAATGGGAGAATAGTAGGCTCTACCACAAACTCGGTTTACATTGGAGACTGGCAAAACAAAGATGCGACAGCTCCTCCATGATGGAATATGTAAGGCACTATGAAATTATTAGAGTTTTAGGAAAACATTAATAGGTCTTATTTTATAATGATATTGAGTTTGGTTTTCTTGACATTACAGGTTCTTTTGATTGAATTTATTCCAAAGATTCCAATCTATAGGCCCGACTAAACAATGGGCAATCGTGCAATTAATAATATGTACAATGCAGATAATCAGCAATGTGCAATGTGCAACTGACATGCAGAGAAATACAGAGAAGATAAAGTGCCGCTACGATATAGGTACTTTTCTAGTACTTATGTAATGCATATTTTTGTAAATATTCTGGGTAGGAATGCACAGTACAATAATTCGACGTAACAGAGAATAGATCACGTTTTGATCATAGAAAGAAAAAGGCAATTGTTAATTCTTTACAATTAATTTAAACTAAAAAAATATTGCAAACTGAATGATTATTTTCTCAGAGATATTCATTATATACGTTTGGAATAGATCATAAATCAGTTTCCATATTTTTAAATTTTTTGCGCTGAAAACTACTCGACAGCTTTATTTATTAGTGTATACAGTAATTGCAAGAATAATCTCATCGTTTTTTATCCGAGTTCCTTGTAACATTTGGTTAATCTGTACTCGTCAACTAGAATTTAAGCCTTCAGGTAAGAAATTAATCTGATTCAGTACAACGAATTTATTAAAGTACAGATAACGTCAAAATGAGTCACGCTAATCAATCTGTCTAATCGTGTATAATGTTACATGCACACTCATGTACATACATACGTGTACATACATAGAAACTTATTTTAACTATAGGTTAATTTCTTACCACCGTGATATTAGAAAGTATGAAATGTAAAGCGCAACTTTACTTTCTGATACAAATTTCTCAAAATATTTTAACACGAATAAATCATCCGAAATGAAGAAGCATACGTTGCGATTAAAAGATATCGATATAGATTTTAGAAGAAATAGATAGCAATCGCTGATAAATGTAAAATATATACCGATGAGATGAAATTTTAATTGCAAAACGCATCAGTTTATAATAGGGCAAACAGTACGGAAACTGTAGAATAGCATCAGCGTAATTATTGGGCACAGAAGAACATAAGAAAATATTGTAGAAAACTGCCATGAACGAGCTCATTAATTCTTGCTTTTTAATGAAAAAAATCAACGTTATCACTTTTTATGCATATGCTGTCGCATAATTTTATGTGTCCAATCGCATGACTTTTAGAAGGAATGATCGACACTTAGCGCATGGACATTTCTGTCACATATCTGTTTTCCTTTTAAGCTAATGTTAAACTAGTCTTAAGAAGAATGATGAAATTGTTTATTAATAAATTTTAATTTTATGGATAATAATACATTTTAATTTACTTAAGTGGCACACTGCTATCACAGTACTGTTTACTCTATTCTTGTTAATATATATACGTAATATACTGTTTCTCAGATAAAAACAGGGATAGGATTACCAAAATATCAGAACAACGTCTCCCATGTAAAGGAACTTTGTTGTGTAGGCACTATTTTACATTGCAGTTTAATATGGTTCCGCACAGATATTTCTCTACTAACAACTTGTCTAATATGTGATAATGCGGCTGTTATCAGCTCCGCATTACTTTCGCACTGAAGAAAAAAAAAATTAAGCAAATTTACTCATTATCAGGCGCCCAAAACATAAAATGATTGTAGAAAAATATGCAAAAACATGTGAAAATACTGTAAGTGTTTCTGTTGCTGTTCAGTGGCTGTGATCGAGAACAAAAGACTAGTTTTGAATTTGAATGTGTATCGCAAACAATTACACATAACGCCCGTGCTTTATCTTATGCGGTTCTACATGTTAAAGCCTTTTATAGAATATCAGATTTACTCTGTTTCTCTAATATTTGTACTTATTCTGTAGAATAATTAAGTCAAAGTAACAAGCGTTTGCATTAAAGGTGTCTGTGTCATATAGATTAATAAGAATGCTCTATTGCCATATCTGATTTCAATCATACATACCATAGATATAATCCATCTATCATTAATATTTTTTAAAAATAAAGCAAACAGAGCTATTTATATAGATTCTCATTTCACTTGAGGAAAATATTATATATTATAACGATTATACTCTTAATGATCTGTTGAATAGTTGATAATATGTCAAACAATAAGCGATCATAAAAATCATATTATCATATTTTCGGACACGTGTGTACGAACGAATTGTTATACGATTATTATTTTTCCAATAATTCTACAGCGGGCAGAAGTGTACGATATTTCTGTACTGAATGTCCTAATCGATCCATTGAACAAATATTGAATTATATATAGAAATCGATATACTGTAATGGAACCATTGCATATGTGCTTTCTAAACTGAATATCGCAATCCTCTTGGTAGCGTATAATAAAATAAGGGCTGTGTTAAATTGGTCAAAGTGAGAGACGCATAATATGGTTCTAAACTATGCTTAAAAATAATTTTCGTATATTTCTAAAAATAAGATTACTTAACGTATCGACGAATAGAGGCAAATTTTATTCCGTTTGCTCGCATTTTCTTAAATACTAAATACGGTCTAATTATACTTTCTTGAAATTACACCAAGTATCAGAAAAACGTATGTAACGTTAACGCTTAGTTTGAAAGTAATATAATTACGTATACACACTTAGTTTATTAATTTATTAATACTTTAATATACAATCATTAAGGCCACGTATACTAAAAAATTAATTAAATCTCTATATGGCTTATATATGTATACATATATTATCTACGCAAGTATTTACATGATCTTTCCTTCGCATAGACCATGAACTATGTGCGCTCGGTAAAAGAAAAACTAAGGAATTGTTTTTCGTCGATGTTTTATCACTCTGCACATGTGAATATTTTTAGATATATCACAATACAAAAAAATAATAATAACATGATAATTACAATGTACAAGGAATTATAAAAACTAAATGCTTATTTCAGATACATATAAACTTTCTGTATAGATAATAAGCTATCTAGATTACAACACATGAGACGACACATAATTTATACATAGTTTGCATAGTAGACGTAGATGTACATAAATGATTAATGTTTTTATGCGCAGCTTTCCTTGGACATTTGGTTTAATGATAAAAGCCACCTTGGAAATCATGCATTTTAAACAAGTACACTTCTATCTAAGATTATTTTTCAGTTCACGTGTTGTTTTGCAGAGAAGCTCAATTAATATCATGCATGTTGAATGTATGAATGGAAATATCAAGCATCACTCGATAAAGATTCTTCGAGTTGCTCATATCATTCAATGCATCGCATTCCTTCATGGAATGTCCATCTATAAATATATAAACATATATTTACACTCTGAATTATAAAAACAAACATATACATATATTGCAAGGAGGCCAATTATCTGAAATTGGTTTACTTTTTAAATCTTTCATTTATTATTACTTGAAGGATCGAATATCACTCTAAGGAGCGGAAATATTTTTTCAGTGACACGGTTTTGTGTGTGAATTTAGATATTGACATTAAAGCGTAAGAATAATAATAATGTAAATAGGATGATGAATTTGCAAGGAAATGTATAGCGAATCAAGGTTTATAATATCGATGATTACATTGCGAAAGATCAGGGGAAAGGAATATATTTTTGATAGAAGAAAAATGTAAACGAAATGATTATCAGAAAATTTGAATATAAAATTTGGTGTTGAATTTATGTTCTAGATTAAATATTTTTTTTCTAGATTAAATATTTTTTATGCAAATTGCATATATCACGAAGATATCGAGAAGATATTGACATAACAGATTAATCGATACGAGTAAATTACATAACATCGCATATCATATTATACGTTACATTAAACTAAATACATTAGTTACATTAGATGTAACTTGCCAAAGCATTTATTTACTTAACATTTTAAAGTTGAAGTCAATAGACAAATTGTAGTTGCAATACATCCTTGGCGCAAAAGCGGCTAATAGTGAAATTATTATCAGGTTATCGTGGTTTCAACATGTGCCTTTTACTCGTGAATTTGTGTGAATCATGTAAATGTAAATATTATATATGTTAATAATATATGTTAAGAAATATATTTGTATAGAATGAGAGAGTGGTTCCTATATATAAATATATATTGCGCATAAATAAAATAACTACTCGCAAGCTCGCGATATCGTTGCACAAGATTACATGACGGATCGAAATAGCATATCATAATTTCGCAATGGATAGAAAAGTTTTCAGAGCATCATAATAATGAGATGCAGAAATGTGAGATATGAAATATACGTAATGAAATACACGTAAATATTATTTCGTAAAAAGCTTTTGATTAACAGTCGATTTAACGCGATTTATTATGTGATGACTAATTATTTTCCGCTATGATTATTTTTTATACACATCGTTTGTTAGCCGTGTAAATTTGTGTAACTGTGTTAATTGTTTTTCAGTTTGAAAATAAAACATACGGTTGTATAATAGCCGAATATATTTCAGGCTTATTGAATTCTTTTTAATCGATATTTTTTAGCAAATTAATTATAATTTTCAATGTAATTGCGGGTGTAAGCTTTTTTTACCCAGATTAAACTTCAACTGGAATTTTATATATGCATACATATATATATGTATGTATGTATATATTAATTTCGATGTTAATGTCCTCCCAGTGGAGCAACATTCAAGCAAACTGCTTACTTCGAAATTCGAATGTTAATACGTCATGTTATGATAATCGACAACAGATGCTCTGCAGCTTCTAATTAAAGAAGCCCATTGTTAGTCGTATCTGTGCTACAGGACAGATAATTCTTCTTCGAACCTAGTGTCAAAGAAGACACGAATTTAAATTCTCGATTGTTGTGCGCTCAGTGCAAGATGATTTTGATACGCAATAAAAATATCCGTGTGTTGATATTCATTGCGAGTATTCTGTCAGTGAATTCTAACGAGCTCTTCTCAGCTTACAATGTTTCCCCCAGGTAAAAATGTTCGATGATATCATCGTCTTTGAGTTTCTATTTTACGTTTTAAAGTAGTTGAGTTAAAATGATTTAAAAACTTAGAAATAAAGTAAATATATAGAAAGAAGGATTTTTCGGAAGTATTAAAAAATTTAGCTGGATCTGAAAATAATTTTGTTGAACCTTCATAATTATATTCATAGCATTCAAAATGATTGCTAGAATGTCAAGACTTTTTGCGACATTATCATCATATGGTTGAATTTGTACATAATTATTTCGATAAATTCCAACAAAATTATTTTCAGATTTGTATCTAACTAATCTATAATATTTCAGCGAAATTGTCTTCTTTCTATATATATATTTTTATTACATAATTTACTATATGATACAAGTTTTATTAATTTTTTATGTGCACATTGAATTATTGCAAATCCTATAATCCTTAAAATTTCAGAGCCGTTCCGAAGTGTTCCTTGCCAATAACAGTTTTGGATTTCATTCGCAATACTAGTCAGCTTGATTTAGAAACTAAATGGCCCTGCGAAGTACGCTCGTACTGGCTGTCTTTAAAGCCATTCGTCAAATCCGTCCGTTTTTTGCTCCGCTATGTAACGCCATTTATTATAATACTCGGTAAGAAACATCGCGATGCGCATCTTACAATTCTCGACTGTTCTCATACAATGTTGTAACCCACTTTGTATAGGTGTATTGCTAAATGCTGTATCTTTTAGTATGTTGAGCGCACCTGTGTTATGTGACTCCAATTTGTCACTTTATCTAAGCGCGCTCGCTATATCGGACAATGGAGCGTTAATATTCAATTACGCCGTCAGCGTCGCAAAATCACACTCCTCGTCCGTTAACGATCTTTTTATGGTAAATATCCTGTGTTTGATTAATTTTCTCTTGTTGCATAGTTATCGGTTCTCCTGCCACAAGAAATTCGTCCATTCAGACGGAACAAAATCAATTTGGTTGGCTCTGGTTAATAAAGATAACTATAATTTCAATTTATTCTTCAAACTGTTCCTTTCAATTGGATCAAGGTCTTCCTCAATTGATAGCCCTGAATAAATCTCAACGTCGACTGAGGAAGAGACTTTAGTAAAGGTCGAAATCTGAGGAAGTCTATCGTATGTACGCGGTGATACCAACCGAAAGGAATTGTTTGGAAATAAAGATTATTATTTCATCGGCGCCTTGAACTCGATTATTCATTCGACGTCTTGAAATTTAAATTATATATTAACAGTTTATTTTTATTGCTGCACTGGACTGCACTTTCTTTCGCTTTTGCCAAATATCAAACATCTATTTTATTTTAAATATCAAATACTTATTTTACTTTAAATGCCAAGAGTGAGCACTAGTTCAGCTGTAAAAGTAGACCTATTAACACGTAGATCGTCATGGTGATTATCTGATGTTTGATTTTTGAAATGACCTATTACTTACAATTATTATTACTTACTATTAATACATTTCTGTTTTCATTTTTTTTTTAACAAATGCTTTTCAACACATTAGTGATTAATATTTTATGAGAATATTCTCTTATTTCATATTACGCAAAGTTTTGTCGTTATATGTTAATTTGTTTATATAATAATAAAAATTCTGTGTACATGATGAAACAAAAAAAAAAGATAAAATTCCTAGGCGTGTAAATTCATTTCAACATCTCGATAAATTGTGGAATGTGAATTAAGAAGAAAATGAATTGCGAGAGAATTAAACTTTTGCACGATGCGCTCAGAATAATTTTCTTACAGAACAGCAAATTTTTATGCGGCGCGAATTCCGTGAGCATGGAACTTTTTCAATTTACGTCGACCTGGCTGATTGTCGCTCTCACGTGGACGCGTGCCATCGCCGTGATGTTTCCATTCGGAGCTCGTGATCAAACTCGCTCCGCGATTACAATTATCACCAGTCTAGTCTGCATAAGCTTCATAATATCCTTAACGAAGCTGTACTCTGGCGGTAAAGCATACATCTCATGTCACCTTTCCCCTTTGCGAGTCAATTGCGAATCACTTACGATTATATGTTACTGTTCTCTTTTCGTCAATGAATGCTGACTTACGCTGATTGTAGGATACGAAACTGACAGCGTTTTCGAATTTGTACCCTGCCAGAAGATGAAGCCATGGGGCAGCGCCATGTACTTTTACATCGCCCTGTCCACGTGGCTGCCCTTGCTTTTTATATCGATCGGCAATCTGCTACTGATCGTTCGTATGAGGAGATCTTATAAGATTCACAACGAATTAACTCGTAAGTCTTCGTCGCGATCGTTGATTACGACGTCATCGTATGGGAAGATTTAACAGCGACCTTCGCCTCAGATAATTTTAGGTACAGAAGCAACAGAACAAACAATTCAAGTAGAACGTTGTTCGTGGTATCGATAGTACATTTGATCTTGTTGCTGCCATTGGGAATTGTTGAAACGTTGGAACTTTATTGGGACGTGATTTTAATCAAATATCCTAGTAATACAGGAGAGAACGAGAGATACATACATTGGTAAAATATCTATTGAACAAAATACAGAAATTGACATTAAAAAATGTTTTCTATATTACGCTGTTTCTGAATTATTTCTTGCGTCTGAACTATTTTTTATGTAATAAATAATATTATTTATTTTTATATAATTATAATTATTATACTTCATTTTATTTTATATATATATATATATATATAGACATCTTAATACGGCGGTATTTTTCAGGTTACAAGAGAAGATGTTACTAAAGTGGTGCCACGGCCTATTTTTTCATATATACCATTGGAATTTCGCAATAAACTTTTTTCTGTATTACCTTACAGGAAATAAATTCAGAAGTGTTGTTGCGCAAATGTTGAAAAATTATACGGATACATATCTGCCGTGCCACAAAAAAGTCTCGAGATGTAATACATGGAATAACTGTCACAAACATTTACGATCTTGCGTCACATTGCTAACGAGAACTGTTGTACGAAGCAAACAATTCAATAATATGGCAAATAATTCAATAATATTCAATAATAGAAGTAATTCCAATGAAAGAAACAGCAACGTTACCTAATTTTGTAAAAACAAAGTACATTAGGAAGAAAACTCTTTTCGATATAGGAACGTTGCATTATATGTAACTCATCATCATATATAATATATGCGTCTTAAAAGATAAATCCGACAGAAAAGATATGTAAACATTCAACTCAAACGTGATAAACCATCGTCTCTTTCTCGATTATTTTATATACATACTCGTATCTTTTTAATTGATTCCGGAAGTCGGTTCTCGAGGAGCAGATTATATTCGGGTAAAGTTATTTTTGTTTTGCAGTTTATTTTGTTTACACATGAAATGTTTACACATTAAACATTGCAAAATATCACATTGCGTATTAGGCGTCTTCTGCATAACAGCGTAATTCTTATAATTAAATAGCGATTTAATTACATGTGTAAAGATGATTTGTTATTATATTTTAACTATAACTTCCAATTTTTTCACTATCATCACTCGCCTTTTCTAGTCTTATAAACTAATGTTATGGTCCCCTATGCAGATCTTTGATGCAATCTGGGATATCATGATAATACTGTACTACAAAAATTTCGAGCAAATGGTACAAGAATAAGATGAACTACTAACAATAAGATGTAGTAAGATGTACTATTAGAACTTGTATCACTATTTTCAAATCGATATGAAATAACTTAGAGCAATATACGAAGTTCACTGCTGATTTTGTTTTTCCTAAAATTTAGTTAGTGACTTGACATGCGTTTCATAAAATATTCGAATTTAATGCATATGCTAAATTAATTGTATCAAACATAATTACACAACTTGCGTATGAGAACATGATTAAGTATACACATATACAATAATAATTACTCATTTTAACGGCAGATTAAATGAATAGTTATCTAAACTACTAACGCACTTCTCTCTCCTTCGCTTCCTCCTTCCCTCCCAATCAGTTATGCATTCACATAATATACATTTACAACTGTACCACATTGGTAACTTTTACTGAAATAAATTCTAAGACAAAAAAATACGTGTATAATACAATTATATAGACATCCAACGTATTTATTTATGTACTAATATAATCATCTTAAATTTATAATTTATTCTTAAAAGAAAATTGAATCTCAATTTATATTTATAGTTCATAAATAGGGAAAATATATCAAATAATTTCCTAACCCTTACAGCACAAAGTTGTACAAAACTTACAGCGACATTGCAGAGATTTTACAGCAATATTGCAATTTCTGTGCTGTATGGAACTTTATATATAAGATACATTAAATTCTCGAACACAATATATACAACGAAAAAAAAAAAATTTGTTTTTATGCTAGATCTCACTAAAAAACTTCCAAAATAGTATCTAAATCAGTGAAATTATCTAACGAAGACTGTTATATATATTATTTTTCATTTGATTGTTTAGAAATCTGTCTATAAAAAATGAACTTTTTAAATAACGGTTGGGAAGGAATATCTTAATCAAAATGTATTGTCCACATTCATCAATATTAACAATTTGTAAATCTTGACAGATCTGTAATTTTATGTCTTATATATAATGACACAATTTATTTAAATTATGTTTAAATATGATTATCTTCTGTATATGCCAAAAAACTTCAACTGTATGCTTGCCAAAGTATGTCCTCATATAAAATTTCCAAAACAGATTTTAAAATATTTAAAGTACATTTTCGAAAACGCAGATATACAAAAATTCTCAATTACACAATAAATAAAAAATGAAATGTAGAAATATTTTTTTTATACTATTAGAAAAATATAAGACATGTACAAAATATTTAGTGAAAATTAAACTCTCAAACATTAGATGCAAGCATAAAATCTCAAAATAAAATTAAGATAGAAACGGGATTCACTGTATATGGTTTCCGTAGTATCCTTTACAAAATATTGCAAACAGGGCTTAAAAAGTTTTAAAAAGAGTAAGCTAAATGAATTCTAGACATCACCAATCGCAGATGTTATTTTCTAATTCCTAAAGACAAATATAGCAATTACTTTCGAAAATTATGTCTATTGGAACTCGGCGACAAAAACTCGTATGCACGATTCAGTCTTTTTCAGTAAAATTTTCTAAAATTTTCTTTCTCTTTAATGATTTGTACATGATCGAAATTACATCATAAAAAATCCATTTGTACACTTTCTCTTTTTATCACTATTCTTATTAATTTGTAAAGATGTGATTAATAATTCTTAATAATGTTTGCAATACGGAGGCTCTCGAAATAGTAAATTGTTAATACACTGGATACAAAATATTTATTAAAAAAATGTTTAAATATTACGTGGAAGTCTATTTATATAATTTACTGGAAATTGTCCCCTTCTACCATTGTACTCACCGTATAACCAATCCTCCGATATCCTTGATATGACTGTAATTTTCGCTCCCTCCTGAAGTAACAAAACAATGTTAGAAACATAATAGATCTTTCATTCAATTTACTTTGCCTTAATCTTTGATACCTCAAATGACAAGTCATCGCTATTCTCTCCCGGAAAAGTGTAAAGGGCTGTGACCACATTGTCTGATAAATCTGCCAGAGGTATTTTGATATCAATGAAATTAAGCGGGAAGATTCCTTGACGATTTCCTATTCTTCCCTCCAACCAGTCATCGTTAACTTTTTTCACCAATTGTACAATGTCACCTTCTTTTAAAGCTAAGTCATCTGGATGAGTTGCGGAGAAATCGTACAGCGCAATACCGTAAGGTTCATTGGAATCTCTCTGTAAATTATCAACCAATTAATATCAATTACAAATGCATTTTATCTTCCTTTAAATACAAGCTATATAGCTTCAAGTTTACAATACTCACTTTAAAATCACTGCTAAGTTCTGCCAAATAATTCGCAGGTAATGCCGGTGGTGGAATCGTCGGCATGGGTGGCGACGGACTATCACTTTCTTCACCATCGTTGGACCATGCATTAGAGAAATGCAACGTCAACGGTTTGTTCATTGTGCTGCTACTCGAGACTGCGAAATCGATACACGTTTCCTTCGGTATCGGTTCGAGTTTCTTAAATAGTATCTTTGGTGCCGGAGGCTTAGGAGGTTTCGCTCGGATTATTGTGGGCATCGATGTAACGAAAGATTTAGAAGTGATTAGATTGGAAGGCACTTGGTTCGTTTCGCGATTGTTGGAGTTAAAGGCAAAGAGACCGCCGGCTTGAGACACGTTCGAGCAAGTATCCTCTAGAGGTCCGAATGGATCTTGCACTGTTGTTTTAGTCTGCCATGGGTCATTTTGTGCTATTTTCTTGGCGGATATACCGAAAAAGTCAAAATCATCTTCAAAGGCACTTTCTGTTTGCGATGTGTTTCCGCTGCTTGTGAATACAGATGGATTGGAGTTTCCGTCACTGCCAAAACTGTCTACACTGACACCATCACTGGAGCGTGTTGTAAATGTCGGGGATCCAGGTGGGCTGAGATCTATCAAAGATACTGCGATTGAATTCGAGGGCTGCGTTATCTGGTTTTGTAAGTGGCCACTTGGACGCAATGGAAAATGATTCTCTTGTTTCTTTCGTCCGAAGAAATTAGTCAACAGCTCCGTCGGCCTGGCCTAGTGTACAAAATAAAAATGTAGCTATTAATCGTTTATGAGAAATAACGTAAAAAAATATTTACGACTAAATTTTCTCGTGAGTGACGTGACCGGAAATATCACATTGGCAGGTCATGATACACTATTAAAATACACAGGGATAGCATATGTACTTTAATTATACTTATTGCTTATTGAAAATCTATAATTTACGTTATGTACCATACATTTTTTGTTGCAATTACTTTTAGGTCACAAAAATATCGCTATTGTTCTTTGCAGGAAGTATTTCGTTAATGGTAGTCCAGTAGAATAAGATAACGGTTATTCATACGTTTTTAGGTGATCACGTCATCGTGAATGTATTAAACTATTGCATGCATTGGGAACAGATCTGTCAAGAATTATAAGTATATAATAAATTTATAAATTACAATACTTACTGGCTTTCTCGGTTTCTGATCCTTCTGATACTGTGAGTAATTGCGATTAAATTTCGGAGGCGGTGGTCGAGGAGGTGGCTTTTTTTTCTGTCCAGGTTGCGTTGTTAGAGCTCCTCCGAATATATCGTTACTGAAAGCATACAAACGTTATCACAATAATACAGAAGCTAGATAAATTCCGAACATTGACAATCTAAATGGATTATATTATTAGGTATTTTCAAAGATAAGAGATTTATCTTTTGCAGTCAAATTTTTGTATTCATATATGGCTTTTCTTTCTTTCTTCTCAATATTTTATTATACACTTGTTTCTAGTGTAGAAAATATAATATAAATCTTATCAATAATATTGAATCATACTAACAGTACGCATCAATATTTTTACAACTTTACACAGTCAACATTATTGATATTTCAGCCCAATTTTATGTACATTGTGGATCTTACACAATCAATAATACTGTTAGTATCAACATACTGAAAATATTATTAATCATATATTGATGGATTAATGTAAAATACTGGCAGTGATCTGCATTTCTTGATTCTCAAGCATCAGTATACTTCTGTAGAAAGGGATATTACTGTAGTAATAATATTCGAGAATGAAGAAATCTGGATCACTTGCCAATATTCTAAATCAAACAAGTAAACCACATATAATCATAATATAAAAGATATGGATGCTTTCTGGCAAGAAATACAGATGATACATTGCAATCCAGTGAATTATTATGTTCTTGTTATTTCTCAATGTTAAACAAAGATGAAATGATCACTGTGTTGCACTGGCTGTGTTTATCAGAAAAAAACAACTTTAAAGGTCGTAAAAGTCTTTAATACGATTGGTCTTACCTTTAGAATCCCTTACTGATGACTCTAAATGTATAAATCAATCATATTAAAGAATCTTACAATTGCAAAGCTGCTTTCTTTGCTGAACGCAGTCACTGTGCCTCTTATTGGAAAGCACCATATGGGTTACCATGTTTACTGTTCAGATCTATTATTAGAATGCCAATGTTTCATGAATATTGCAGTTTACTCCAAGGCGAGGAGCAACCTGACACTAACTGGTTTTTCATTCCGAAGTGATATATTTAACAATGTATCAAAACACGGAGATAATACATAGCTTCTGTTCAGAAAGTATCAGTGGAAACATGAAAAATATTAACACATGATCAATAATATCAGACCTATTTTTTATTCTTGTACTAAACTACTAGAATTCTCTTTCTCGCTTTCGTCAAACATCAAACATACAGTTATCTCGCTTTAAGTTCCAAAAATGTACACTAATTCAGCCACAGAAAACAGACTCATTGTCAGTTTTTTGGTGCTGATAGTATTAAGTGCTTTCCATTTGATGACAACGATGACACGTTGACATAAGTGTATCTTTGTTAATCACTGAATGTCAAGGAAGATAGAATGATGCTCGTACCACTTGTATCATCAAATGGAAAGTACCCATTATTGATCCATGTACGCAATACACTATTACACAATGCACAGTCACAAGAAGCAGACGACCTTGCAAAACAAGACGCTCTACCTGGTGCTCCAGATCGGATCTCTCTGCGTCGTGCTCTGACCCGGAGGACGAGGCGCCGCGCGCGTCGGTATCGGCATGTCTTCTGAAAGTAACGACAGGCGAGAATAATCAGAATGGGCAGTAAGCAGCTTGGCTCTGACGCACGATCGGTTCCTCGCACACGCTGGTACGCACGCGTGTCGCACCGCACCAACACAATCACAAAGCGAGCGCACACGCGCGCGAATAAGCGTGGAGACAACGGTTACAAAAAATTTTCCAAAACAAAATGCGTGACAGACTGACGGAGGAACAGGACGAACGGACAGACGTGCGTATGCGTCTGTTGTCGCTTCGTGATTACGACGCACGATTATGCGCGATACACGCCTACTCGTCACGGATATCACAACATTCACAGCGATAAGTGAGACACAAGCCAGTCACAGCGTGCTTTATCTCTCGATTCTCGCGTCCGTTGACGATTGCGGAGCGAATGGGCAGAGCAGGGCAGAGATGGGGAGTCGGCAGACCGAGAAAAGTCAGAGTTCGTCGCGCCGCCGCGATGAGGAACGATCGGGCATTTATTGCGAGAAATAGCGCGGACGAACGGAAAACGTCGCACGCGACGGGATGGCTCGCGACGTCGCGTCCTGGTTTTCGGGACAAGGACACTGACTGTGACTCACCCGTCTTGGTCTCGATTCGTGTACCGGAAAACTATAACTCGCGGCGGCATCGACGGGCCGTTATGTTGTTACTCACCTGTTCTCATGTTCGCGGCCATGTTTCACTCGCATGTTGCACCGCAGCGACGTCCTCGTCACGGCAGTGCGTTTTTAAAGACAAGTCGCTTTCAAATTTATGCTGTCAACAACAGCTCCACAACCGCAACTCCCTTCTCAACCTTCCCTCAACCTGCCATGACGACTCGAAGTTTAAATACCTATATTGTTTTTGTTCTATTTCGTTCGTTTACTATTCTGCGCCAATGTTATTGATATTTCCATACTCGATAAAGATACACGTTATAAATTTTGTACGTTTATTATTTCAGAGTTATCTTTTTTTATAATAAAATATTTATCATTAATAAAAAATTAATAATGAATTGTAATAAAATGAATGATATTTATTCATTGAAACTTAATTTGTTATATAATATTAATTAATTGAAACTAAATGTTATCTTTGTTTTGAGAAGAACCGATTGCGGGCGAGGATCTACAAGTGCTTTAATCTGATTTTCTTTTGCGTCAAAATAAAGCGTTGCTTTGACGTTGTGACATCAGAAAAAAATTATATAAACAATCCGCACAACTTACGCAATCTAGTAAAAAAATTGAAACGTCTCGTGTATCGTAATTGTTGTCTTTAAATTAGAAAAAAATCTGACCTCTGGTCAGCCTAATTTCATTATATATACATATTTAATTTTTAAATTTCACAATAGCATTTATCACAATATTTTTAAATTATAATTTTGACAATCCCCTTTAGAACGAATTTTTGCTTAATAATTTAATATTTATCAAACATGATTTTTTTTTTTTAAGAATGTATTGCACTCATTTTTACAATAAATTATACATGTATATGGAAAAATTGTGTTTCTAACATTCTATTTTTATTAAATAACACGTTTTATTATTCATTTACTCTTTATTTGTATTATTTTTATTGCTATAAAAATTAACAAAAACGACAAAAATTTCAATCTTTTTGTATAAATATCTAAAGTATTCAAAATGATTTATGCATTTATTTTTAAGTTTTGTTATGATTCATACAAAAATTTAGAAAAAAATTAATATTTTGTTTATTTACAGAACAATTATAATCTCTACATCGTAATTTAACTTTATATAACATATTTTGAATACTTAAAATACTCAAAAAAAAATTGAAATTTATGTCATTATTTTACAATACATTTCTATAATATTAGAGCAAATAAAAAAAATATCTCTTATTTTGAAATAGCTTTTAATTCGAATGATAAACATTGCTAAATTTGTTGTATTACTTTTAAATATGATTTAGAATAATCCGTAATTTTTCTATAATTTTTTAATTATTTTAAAATATGTGTAATACATCCTTAAGCTTGCCAAAACATCATGTGCCTTATTATAGAAGTGAAAGCGTCAATCTGAGAAAGATGCAAGTTAAAGAAAAAGATGGCTCTTCGTCGTAAACGCCACTTTATTTTATCTATGTACAGAAACAAAAGTCCCTTAAACGCACCTAGACAATGATTGAATACAATAGGATTTAATCGCGTCGAACTTATGTACAAATTAAACGTCGATGGATGCGCGCGGCGTTTTGTACCCTGACTGTGAACGATACGAAGAGGAATAATGCCGCATCTGGGTTACCGTGCCCCGTTGCGGTGCGGGAATATTATAAAATAAAAAGGAAAAGAGGAGTCTCTCTCTCTCTCTCTCTCTCTCTCTCTCTCTCTCTCTTTCTCTTCACTCTCGCGGAAGTTACAAAAAAGTTCGTGTAGATAGGTAGGTAGACGGGTATCTTTAAATACAAGAACACATGGTACTTTCGTCGAACGTGAGGGAACGAGGTAAGGATCGAGTCGCAGTTTCGATCGACAAACCCGTCGTATCTGGAGCTTTTCTTTCTTCAATTTCGACAAGTTACGAGATGTTCCTCGTTGTTCGACGCGGAGTCGATTCGAGTTTCACATGAGGCTGAACTGTACTTCAACAATCCCGATTCTCATGTCTAGTACAATGTTCCCCAAAATCCCGATGTTTTGCGAAACAAACGGTATTCCGCAGTCGTATATTTAGGATGCTTTCCAATTAATCAACGTAAACAGAAATGGACTAAATGTAGCATTGTGTAAAGCTTAATTAGAACAGAATGTGTACGCTGTGCACGGTTTCAGATAGTTGGATTAAATGTAGCTTTTTCCATATTCTATATTGAATGAAAAAAAGCAAAAATGCTGGCCACCCAATGTCCATCAATCTCTTCTTCTTCTGCTTCTAACAGTCCTCTGTATGGATTTCCGACTCTTTATTTGGGTCATAGTATCATGTATTAATTTGACTTTATGATCCAGCAAAAACCTCTTTGAGGAGCAAAGGTTCTTCCTTCAATCTCTTATGGCCACCACGATTAGTAACCTGGGATGCGTTTCCAAAAACTACTCTGTCAACTCCAAATATCTTTTATCCTTGTACAATATTCGATGAATAACAATGATAAAATGATATTCGAATTGACAGAGTTTTGGAACGTATCCCTGTAATTGTAACGAGAAAACACAAGCTTATATAACTGATAATACTCGAGCTGTTGTGTCGACGATTACGGTATAACTTGTGTCGTATGCGTGGAAGTGTCTTTACAATGTGAAAATGTCTTTACAAGTGATTTTACAAATTGGAAAGCACCCATAAAAATTTCCACCCAAATTAAATAAGCAATTTTCTGGAATATATATCTAAACTAATAAATTTTGGTTCATCAGAATCGAAATCGATTCTGAAATTATTTGACAACATTTATAAACTTGGTTTCCCCTCGCAACTATTTCATCGTTTAAAAAGGATCAAAAAATTCTATTTCGAATTAATCTCTATATGAGATGGCGGTTTTAATCTCGATTGCTTAGCTTTAAACCTAGTCTTGACTCCGGAAAATATTTCAGGAGTACTTTTGGGCACGTCTACCGACGATTGCAGCATCGGTGTTCCTTTATTTAACATCGATATTAAACTAATTACAATATGATTAAACCCACCATAATATGAAGAGGAAAATAACTTTATGAAAATATCACGCTACCTGGCATTGCAAATAAGAATGTCAATGTCTGCTTTGGAATTTTATTCTCATAATTGACTTGCGATGACAAAAAGTGTCTACTGAAAGTAATCGAGAATTATTCGTAGTTTTATATCGATCAAAGAGTCTTATTCAAGAGAAAAGTCCTCAAAATAGGACGCGCAGCCTCATGTGCCCAAACTTAAAAAATGTCGATCGTTCGCTTCGTTTGCTTTTAAAATCGAAACCTAGTGAGCCGTACATACATATGTCGCGCAAGCGATGACTTTAGAGGTCTGTGTCAGAAGAGAGTAAATCTTTGATTCACTAGAGAGTTACTTCTACCTGAAAACATTGCCATTGATGAACACATTTAATATATTCATGGATTCTCTGTCGTATGAGTAATCCAGAAGCGTATTCTTTTATTGTTCTTAAGTTAGAAATTCACGGTGCAACGTATTTTGCGTTTTCTCTAATAAAGTTAATTGTATAGGCCACACGTCCAAGCAGTCTTGAACTTTTTAGGCAATGTTTTTAGGTCGGAGAATGAAGTTTTATCGCGCTCAAACGAGAAATTTTCTTTCCTTCAATGTTTGCCTAGTATATTTGATTGACTCTGATATAATGATGACAAGTAAACAGGCATGCAGAAAGAATGAGTCGGATTTTAAATTAGAAATTCGTTTGTTAAATTTATTCTGCTCTAATAAACGTTTGGTTATGAGGCGATTTATTTTTTCGCGCTGAATCATTATATTTTCTCTTTTGATTGCATGAACTTTTAACTTTGCATCCGACTCAATCTCTGATCCCATATATATTCATCTGATTCATATATATTCATCGCTTTATACTATACACTATACTATACAAAGCTCACTGGTTGTACTTGAACTTACGATAAGTTCCACATCCCTCGCTTATATTTACATAACTTTATTTATATGTATAACAGATTCGCCGATATAGCGTGAAAAATTATCCGGGTAAATATACGCAACGCGAAATATGAGAAAGTCGAGGATGTATTCAGGTATTTCTAACGCACAATACAAACATCAAATTCGATCGTTTACATTAATTAATGTACATGGACTTCAGAGACAGATGATCGCAAGTAACCGCATAACGCTTATGAAAGAACCTGTATATTTCGTATCACATATATCGCTCAGAATCTGTCAGATTCTATCACAAGGAATTTGCGCGTGCGCGCGCGCGCGAATATGTCTGTACGCAACAAGGCAAAATATTTCTTGGACCAGTAATGGCAATGTTTCTCGAATCTAGGATTCTATATAGCCGATAGACTTTTTTTTAGAGACTAATCACTTGCGTCACGTTGCCTCCGAAATTGCTAGCGGAGAATGACCAAAATCGAGACGCTATTTTACAGAGGATCCCCTCAATTACTTTCTCTGTTCGGTGCTTCAACCGCGAGTTGTCTCTGGACTAGAGTGAGCTTATCTTTATATAATGGAGAGACATAATATCATCTTATTCAAGGTTTCGACATCGTTTCGACCTTCCAACTCGCAGGCTACAGCTTTAAACGAGGAAAATAATCCAGGGCATTGTATTCAAGATAGAGACTTTGGTTACTCTCCTCTATGTAAAAGTTCCATCGAGAATAATTACTCTTCTCACGTTAGTACGCTCTATTTTCGAAGCTTATTCTAGGCCGTCCCTCGACCGGCGAAAAGAGGAAGACCCTTAGTATTTAGCCGCATGTCTCCACGATGCCAAGGATCAATGCGATTTCTTTGATCCAAGTTGGAGACTGTGCGACTGTGCAAACTTCTGTGAACGAAGCGTGTAAAATCAGCTGCCGTTAACACATTAATTGCCAAGGTATACATATATTTCTCAATTTACGAATCTTTTCAAGTTAGAATTTTTTATTGAATATTGCTCTTTTGATAATAGTTAGTTTCATTCGACTTTTCGCGTATTTTTTTTCGAGCTCTTCGAGAGATAAGACAGTTTCGCTTTTCGCCGATCCGCTCATCTGCTACTGCTCTACGGGCACAGCCAATGTGTTAAAAGAAAATCGTTTCGCCTCTTTTCTTCTTTTGATTGCGCTAACTCCCCCCTCTCGGCCGGAGGATTCCACCCGGCTGTCGGCGCGAGAGAAGCACTAGGATGAGACAGAGTAATGCTGTCACGCGCGGAATAATGATTCTTCCCCCGAAAGAGAGAGAGTCAGTCTTGAGGATTAATAGATAGTTCTGGTACGATTTGATCCTGACACGAGGACCTGCTGCCGGACGTAGGCGTGTGTAACCGCAACGGTTTCGACAACCACGGGTGCAGCGATACGTCTTCGGCGTACGGCCGCTCGGATGGCTCCTTTCGCAGTAGCGAGCGAATCAGGCACTTGGCGCGTGGACTCAGACCCTCCGGCACGGCGAACAGGCCGCGCGAGATCTTGGCGAAAAGGGACGCGTGCTCGGCGTCGTTGAACGGATAACGGCCCACCAGCATCGTATACAGCAACACGCCCAGCGACCAGATATCCGCCGCCTTGCCGGAATAGGCGCGTCCGGAGCGCAGCACTTCCGGCGCGACATATGCTGGACAGCCGCGCCGGTCGGTCAGCTTGTCGTCGTCGTTCTCTACGATCACCGCATCCTCGAGGCTCTCCAGACGAAGCCGCGTTCTGGAAAAAAGGAACGTTCGATTCGAAAATATTCGTTAAGATTGATCGCAGTAATCAATTTCTCGCAATTTGCCATTGTCTTAGAGATAATCGAATTGCGTATCCCAACACGGAAAAAATAATTTTGCTGAAGTATTTAAAAATTTAGCTAGATATAGATAGATATAGATTTAGATTTAGTAAGATATAAATATACATATAGATATAGATTTAGATTTGGCTAACAATAAGTATAGATCTGGAATAATTTAATGTGAATCCTTAAAATAATTACGTAGGACGCTCAAGCTGATTGTTACACTGAGGAAAGAAAATTATTCATTTGATTAAATTAATTGTTTGTTTGACCAAATTAATTTAATTATCTTAATTTTTTTCATTGGAGAACGTATGCTTTTAAGTCAAATATAATACGTTTGCCTTAAATACAAACATTCTTCATCGAAAGAAGTAAACATTAATTTAACTTTTTTTTTTTTCTAAGAATAGAATGTTACATCCTTTTGCAGAATTGTCTTCAACGTTCTGTCTAAACGTTCTTATATATAAATATTTTGATGATTTCAATAATTATTTTCAGATCTGTATTAAACTAAACTTTTAGATACTTTAGCAAAATCGTTCTTTCCATGTATGTCCATCTCTATCCCTTTAGTCTTAATTTATTTAGCTCTCAAGATGAAAAAAATATTATTCAATAGTCAGTAGGCGTATACCAGCCTACCCAGATATCAATAAGATTAAAGACCGTGCTGTATCTTTCTCTCAAAGGAGTTGTGAGTAGAATACTAAACGTTGCAAAAGATTTACGATCTTTTTTCCTATCGTCGTGTGAAATTCACTCTGCGTGTCTGAGACACGCGTTACGCCAAGCCCTGCATTTATTATCGACCGGTTATGATCTGCTCGCTGCGCAAGTTTGCGAACTAGAAGCCGAGGATCATGCAATCTTTTAATGCGCGCGGTCGAGAGAGATCCTCGGGTTCGCCTCGCGCGTGTACTTTAAGTGCGCGCTCGAAGGCAAGGTATTTCAATTTAGCAAGAGGACATCGCGATTGAGCCATCGTTCTCAGTCGTCGTCGTCGTCGGCAGCGTGGAATAAAACGCGATGACGAACACAGGAGGAAGAGAGAATGAGAGAAAGAGAGGAGAGCGCTGCGCTGCCCTGGCCGGTCGCTGCGTTGATCAACCTGCAACGCGGAAGTCGCGCGTGTACGTAATATTCTTGGCTCTTGGGTAACTTCTGAGCTCTCCTTCGACACGAGTTCTCGTATTCTCGCCCACAATATTCACTTGGGAGAAGGGGCGGCACTCGGGAAAGCGCCACGTATTCTATATCATATCCTCCTACAGAAATACATTCCTGTACTTGTCATTCCTTTGAGTCACTTCCACTTGAAATATTTTAGCTTCATGGGATATTACGATTGCTGGTTAAAGGTATTTCATTTATTTTAAAATTTGCGTTTCTCGTTGCATTTCTGTGGATTTAATAAAATAATATAAATTGAAAGGGAAAGTAGACAGAGATAAATCTCGTTTAGCAAATCAGAATTGCATTTATTGGAAAATTGAGCTTTCGTTGGTAAAAGCTTTCGCACTAATTCCATCGTAATTTATTATTAATACAATAACATTATTTTTTGAATACAGCTTTATGAATTTGTCATCATAAATGAAGGAAATTTCTAACATGAGAGACGTTTTCACTGATATAATAATTAATAATAATGTCAAAAGAAGATGCCACAAATTCTTCATCCAAGAATTCCACTTCTCTGATTTCCAGACAAAATTTCATGATTTTCTTTAATGCTTTCAATAATATTTTGAAATATTTTTGTATTTTCGTTTATCAAGATCAAATATTTTGTTGAGAGAGCAATTTAACATACCAATGTAAATTGCTGTTGATGTTACTGACACTGCTTGCATTTAATTATTAAGTTGGTAGTATTTCAAAACTGCCTAGATGCGATGTACATATTAATCTTCTTCAAAGACAAGAATTTTAACTTTCCACAAAATTTTGCAACAAATTTCCTGACTTCCCCAATTTCCCTGACATTTCTCTGAGCTCCAGTTTTATGGCAACCCCGATCAAAGTTACACAATATAATCCATTGTATTCGCAGAATACAATGTGTTTGTTTGAAAGGAATCATTTTTCAATGAAGCCATCGCAGCAAGGAAAATCTAGTTCGACTAGCGCGCATTTTGGAAGAGACTAATGAGACGGAAGCGCGCCTTTGGTGAACGCACGCGAGATCGAGAGTCGTTATACGATCTTGACAATCCGAACGAGTGTCAATGGCCTCGTCTCTCTCTCTCACGAGCAAATGAATCGAACGAACGCGATGGTACGCTAGGCCATTCGTGATGAACCAAACGCGGCCGCCACGAAGAGAGACAGATATAGATAGTGAGAGAAAGAGGGGAGGGGAGGGGGGAGGGGGGGAGGGATATCGCACAGCTTTCTTCGCAAACTTTCACTCGGTCGCAGCACGATATCGCTCTGAGTTCAAGAACCCCTCGGTGCGGCGGATACTAGGCACGATGTGATTTCTTGGACAGCTCGTGAAATTTTATGAACGTCGAGAAAATGTTGATACTTCAAGGCATCGATCTTTCAAGGCAACGATCTCCTTAGACTCCGAACGCGAGCACAACTCTCGTTTCTTCGCTATGTTACTGTAATTGAGAAGTCCAAGGAAGAAACCCACTGATGCCGCACATGCTGAATCATTAATCAAGTGTCATTAATCAATTAACTACGCTCGCAGTCACTCGGCAAATTAATGTCTCTAATGGCAAGGTGAATCTTCTCGAGATAATTTTCATCTCACGATTATATTAATCTTCACACTGTACAAGGAAAATCCGGAATTAATCGGCTATATAGGTGCGAACTTATGTGGATACTTGAACGAATCACATAATTCATCTCGCGGATGTAGAAATTATTTATTTTTTTTTTTTTAGAATATTTTATTATAAAATAGCCAGCCTATAAATACGTTAAAATACGGAATTGAAAATTTTAAATATAGTTCATAATTGTAAAATAATATTATTTTAATCCTTAAACGCCACATTATGAGAATAATATTATGGCATATCTATTCAATTCGATTGCTTGTAATTTCCATAAAAATAAACATTGTAAAACATTTTTCTTCAATCAAAACGCCAGACGTCCAGTTTTTCATTTTCTTGTTAACTTGTATATTTAACAAAGTAATACACAAGAAGGGCAAAGAGCCAATAATGTATAAAAGAATTTTAATTTAAATAAGCAAAATTCATACAAAACAATAGAATTAACAAACGTTTCAACTCCAATCGAATCATTTTCAATGTAATCTTAAAATATAAACATCGTTCTAAATTAAAAATATGCACATGTTCTTACAATATTATTATAATTGTTTAATATCAAATTTTTCATTTTGTGTACGCTGTCATTTGTATATTTAATCTGATGATAATATTATATAAAAATTGTATATATATATATATATATTGGTTTTGTATAAAGCTACCAGTATAAAACCATCCGTTTAATAATTAATCATAATCAGAAAAACACAGTTTTTACATTATCATTAAATTAAATGAAGTTAATTTCAAAACATAAATTAATCAGAAAATAAGAAACTTAAAGAACGTAACATTAAGCAAATATATGTATGCTTTGATATTTATTAATAAAAAAGTTATATAAGCAATGGAAAAAGAAAATCAGATATACCGAAAAGGCGTTTAAGGGTTAATGTTTCATGTAAATATTTAAATAAATTACACGGATATCCGTGCGAAATGCCCGAAACAGGTCCTCAGGTCAACGTCCCGGATTTACACTTTCAAGAATAGAGAGTGTCTCGGGCGCAAGAATTAAACGAGACTAACGATTTTACTCATCGGGATCATTAACCTCACGAATGACTGTCCAGTCGAATTGAATTCGGCGTCGAATTAGATCAGCTTAATGCTCAGTGTAGTTGTGAAACATGCTGCGTAGAAAGAAATTCGACCTCGTGATCGCATTGTATTTTTTATCAAGAGCTAATGCTATGTCCAATGCTATGTCATTGACGACAACGATGATGACGATAACGATGATAATGACGGCGCATGTTTTTTATTGAAACACGCGCGTGACGTATTTAGCAAATTATCATAGGTCGAACTCCATAAGGCGCATCCGGGAAAAGACTGATTTGATCGCCTTGATCCGCCTATTGTCAGCCGATGAGGTAAAGAGAAACCCACGCGAGAGAGATCCGTGCACGAAGATCTTGGCGAAACTTTCGAAAAGGAAGAAGAACGCATTCGAAACCAGTAACTGCAAGAGTGATTTCTTTTAAAATCATATACTGACAAAATTTACTAAATTTTAATAAATATTTGTTTAAATAGTACTAATTAAATATTTACTGTATCTGCAAATATTTATTGATGTCTAAACAAATGTTTAGATAGAATTTAGCTCATGCCGATTAAAGTTTAAACAAATATTAGTTTAAATAAATATTTACTCAATAAATATTTGCTCAATAAAAAAATGACACTTAAATCAAATTAATAGTTCTTGTACCAAGTACAGATATATGTTTATATTTAGTAAATTTTTAGTTTAGCACTACTCAAACAAATATTTATTAAAATTTAATACTTATATTTTTTTCAATATGAGATTTAAGAAAGATTTATGCCTGTGTTCTTCAAAGAAGAAAGTAGATTAATCTCTGTTCAACTTACTGTTCATCTTTTTCTAATTTTTAGAACTATAATAAAAAAAGATTAAAAGTTGAACTAAGATTAAAGCTAATCTATACATTGGAATTGAGGTATTATGCTCTATCAATGTAGATTAACTTCAATCTCGATTCAACTAACTTTCTTAAATCTAGAAAAAGATGAAGAGTAAGAGAAGTGGAACCGAGATTAAAATTAAACTACATACATTGATAGAAAGTACCATGTCCATTTAATCTTGATTTAATTTACTCTTTATTCTTTTCTAATTTTTTAGAATTACAAATAGATGAAGTTAAACTAAGATTAAAGTTAATCTACATTGATAGAAACTGGCATTAATGAATTAATGTACCACATTGGTCAAGCTTACAGAATTTAGCGCATGTCGATTAAAGTTTTCGGGTTTCCATTCGATAATTGTTATCATGACAACTTTTCATTAGATACCGAATTTCGTACATTATCGTATTCTAAGGGGATTACTCTAGGGAAGGAAGGTGCTCCCTTCCTTCCCTTTCATAGAAAGGCAGGAAAGTATATCACGCGCCGTCTCGGATGTCGGCCGTGTCGCGTCGGTGAAACGAGCCGAGCCACGCGTTTCCTAATTATACCGACGTTTCAAAACTCCGCCGCAGCAGCCGATGAACCAATATGCTTTTCTGGCTTGCAACATTCCCCGGACTCTCCTTATTCTTACGTACGCGCGCGCGGGAGCAGCAGCTCGCCGCGCGGTAGGAATGCGATTGGCCAACAACGGACCGACATACGAGTCGATCTCTCGATTGCCCGGCATACACTGTACACGACATACAACACACGCCCGTTGGCTCGGCTCGGTTTGACTTGGTCGACTGTTGCCTGTATGTATTATTACATAGGCCTGACCTGCCTATGCCTGTCTGCTTGCCTTCCGCAGCGACACGTGGGTGCGTCGTATGTTGTATCGCAAATAGATAACGCCGCACCAACGAGCCTCGCAAACACACCCTAAATCACGACTCGACGTGAAATCCTACAGGAATATAATGAAAGCGATTACACTGTTCGTAAGGATTTGCAATGATTTGTTCATGATCATTAGCGACTTTGATGCACCTGTTTGACAATTAATCAAGCCTGAGACACAGTTGAAAAGAATAGGTAATAGGAACAGGGAATAACATATTTCAACCTAGCCGTGTATTCTGGTATGTACGATTTCTGATAGATTATTTGTTTTTATTGTATGTCTTTTTCATTATGCGTTAGATTTCAAACTTAACTTTACGCGAACTTAAATTTGGTTTGAGTTAAAGAGTCAAAGTTTGTGCGAATTTAAATTTGATTTGAGTTGAAGAGGTTACTTAATTTTATGTAATTTGTATTTGGTTTCGCATTTTTTTTTTCACAGACAGGATCGTTTCGTATCGCTTGCCTCTGTCGAGCTGTCTTAAGAAATCACTGGCTTCGAGGATCATAAATTAGACGTGGTGTTTGTATGATTTTGTAATATGTTTAACTTAATTAGAAAGTGATTGATATCAATCAATCAACATACTTCACTTTCTCTTCCATTTCGATATATCATAGATATAGAACAATGAGTGCTCTTGAATGAGTTTATTTTGAATGAGTTTTCAGAAGTGCATCTTGATACGCTACACCTATGTGTACTTT